TCCTGTTAGTTATCTCAGCATTGTGCTGAGCGATGAATGGACATTTCTTCATATTTGATTGCGTATTCATATCGCGACATGTTCAGCAGATGATAATATCACATATCGGGTAAATAATATCGCGTCGTAAGGTCACCAGTGTGACAAGAACTAGGAGGGGTGATGACAGATTTATTCTCCCATTTACGCTTCTCCTGTTATGGGCATTATTATGTCTGTAATATAATAACACCAATATTTCACGGACAGAACGGAATGGCTGAAAGGAAAAAGAATGACAAACATGATTTGTCTTCAGAGAGTCTTTTATAATACTAAGACATACATAAAATCAGATATATATACATATATTCACATGTCCTACGTCGAGACATATATATCACATATATCTACACAACAAAGCAAAGTATATGGAGGAACAAAAAGGAAAGGTCTTACATATAATTTAAAGATACTCCTGACCTGGAAATGCCATTTTTATGACTCCAGGCGGGCCGGATTCATCTATGTCCCAAAGGGAAGTGGCACCACGTACTTGTAAGGTGTTAGGGAGAGATAGATTTAGCCTCAGCCTGGTTCAACCTTCTCTTTTGATTGCTGTCCATGAACTGAAAAATGACTCCAACTTTGGTCATTGTATGGAGTGACGACATAAAATGGCCGTCCTGTGATCCACTTGACTTATCTCCACCAAAGGGAGATAAGCACCTTTTGTATCCTTACACCCCACAAGCCTTTTCTATAATTACTGTGGATGCTAAATATTTATCTATATTTTTTAGTAGCGTATATGCTGACATACAAGGTGACTAGAGTGTATAAGAAGACCTTCAAATTTTCAAATTGATATGTAAGTTTGAGGCTATATTCGCCATTCAAGATGACCCCACAGTTGTATTTCCAAATATACTGTATTGAATTTATTAAATAAATTCAGTAAGCATATAACTTCTTTTCACTCAAATTCTAATGAAGAAACGGTTTACAGTGTCTGACGATGGTTTTGGATTTCTCTCTTGACGAATATGTGTTTTATGTTTATCGTTCAATCATACTGCATATTATATAAGGTAAGAGTACTTTTATTACACTACACTTTTATTATTTTATTATAATAATGTGAATTAAGTTGTTTCAGAAGAAAATATTTGTGCTGATATTTACCAAGTCAGGAGTCAGCCTACCACCCAAAAAACTTGCATGCTAATAACTTACCATAAAACACAGGATTTAACGTTTACATTTTATACGTGGACAGCCCCCTATTTTTAAGATTAAAAGGTTGTCTTGTATACCAATATACAGGGTACTATAATATTAATGGAATGATGTAAAATTTAAAAAATATTAATTGCTTTAAAAAAGTTATATATATATATATATATATATATATATATATATATATATATCGACTTTTTTTCTTTTATTGAAAAGAGAAGAAAGGATTAACTATCAATTGTAAAGAAGACAAAACAAAACATGTTTGTCAGCAAGAAAAAACCTCAAGATGTGAGCTACAAACTGCAGAAGTTTAAATAAAAGGTGACACCAAAATTCAATGGAATAGCAAACAAGGCTTTCTACAAAATAAACAATGTATTAAAAGATAAGAAAATGTAGTTAGAAACAAAGAAAAGAGTGCTGAGCTGCTCTGTGATATCAATCCTCCTATATGGCTGAGAATAATGGACAATTTCCATAACGATAAAGAAGAGACTTGAGATGTAGCGCTACAAAAGGATGTTGAGTATAAAATGGACAGAACAAATAAGGAACCAAGAAATAGAAACAAAAGGATAATTATACTTTGAATCAGAAAATAGTAAAGATTTCTGAGACATATAATGAGGAAAGGAGGCTTGGAAAATTTGATGCTCACAGATCATAATGAAGAGGAACAGAGAGAAACAGTGAGAAACCTACTTAATGATCTTGTGTAAAAGGATAGCAGAACAAGGATTGAGAGAATAGTAAAAAAAAAGCCAAACATTGCTAAGAGCTACAAAGTAGAGGAAGTTGTGGAAAGCCATGATCCACCACGTCCTGAATGGGCACAGCACATTGAAGATATATATATATATATATATATATATAGTAATTCATCAAGTCTGAAAGAAACCTCAACAAAATGCAGGAAGCACTGGCCAGCCATTTTGTCCTATATTTGGGACTCATCAGCAGTGCGCATCCACTACCGAGAATTGAAACCCTGACAGTTAGGTTATCATGCAAACATCATTCCAACGAGCCTCAATGATGAAGAGGTAGCAAATCTGACTCAATATAGCGCCGCTCGCTCACATATTCCATGGTGGAACTCTGCCACTCAAACTTGAGCATTAGAAGCCAGTTCAAGCAATGATATACAAGTGATAGAAATTATTAGGATGATTTGATAATTATAATTAAGTAATTCATTGAATCTGAAAGAAACCTCAACAGAATGCAGAAAGCACTGGACGGCCGTTTTGTCCTATATTTGAGACTCATCAGCAGTGCACATCCATTACTGAGAATTGAAACCCTGACTGTTAAGTTATCATGCAAACATCATACCAACTGTTCCAATATCAAGAAAAGCAAGAGTGAGAGAAATCCCAGCCTTTAGATTATGTTGTCTATGACTTACATATTGGTCTTGAAAGACAGAATTTTTACTCCCATTAATCACATTAAAAACCAGTAAGTATTTACATTATTTACATCATTCAGACTGTTGTCCTCATCTTTATTGCCATATTCAAAATGTTTCGGCCATTGTATGCTCCAAGCTTCTTCAGTTGATATACATTGGAATTTCAAACTAAATCCTTAATTTAGTCCATGGGGTTAGATTGTCCTAATTCTACATATTATATCTTTTTTTTTTTTGGTGGTGGTGGTGGTGGATATCTCAGTATCCCTTTAATATCGCAACTCTCCAAGTCCTTGTTCTCTGCTGTAGCTAGATATTGAACTCAAACCTCTTTGGGTCAAGTCACTTTTGAATTATTCAACCAACACTTTTATCCACAGGGCCATGATTCCAACGTATATCAACTGAAGAAGGTCAGAGCATACAATGGCCGAAATGTTGTGAATATGGCAATAAAGATGAGGACAACAATCCAAATGATGTAAATAGTGTAAATAGTTACAATACCTCATCTCAGAAATATAAGTAATTAAAAGAATTAATAGAGTAAAAATGGTAAATCTCCTAGAGGAAAAGATATGCAAGAAGGATAAATGCAGGTACATAAACCTATGTGGACAAAAGAACGTATAAATTGCATATAAATCAATGCATACAATAGACAATATCATATACCCAAGAAAATGTTATAAATTCAAACACAAGACACTATAACAGATGCATTTGGGTATTGCTTGAAAGGCAACAAAAGATTGTGCACTTAAAGATAAATTAGAAAAATTATCAACTTACTTCAATCCTTGCTGTCCATAGATAGAAGTCAAAATTTTTATGCAGTCTTATTGAGGAAAACTTATTTTCACACTACAACCTCTTTCCAATGGACACAACATTACAAGCCTGTTGTTTGTCTATCACTATTTCCATGGTTAATGTTCAGATGAGCTCCATTATCAGTTCCACCAATTCAGATCTTTACAGCCAGGACATGTCATGTTAGTTCCATGGAGATGAAACACCCTCATTTTGTTTATGATCCAAATGTAGGAAAAAGTTCTACTCAAATAGACTTCCACATGGATGCTTCCCTTTAATCTTAATTTAACAAGTCAAGATTCAATTGGTATCTATCCCCCTTAGCCTAATAAACCTCTCTTCCTGAAAGCTTTTACTACACTCATATCACACACCTCATTTATCATTTCCTATTTTGACTGTTACCTTCTATTTTGAGAGGCTCTTGTGCTTTTTACTGGGCGAAAATTAATAAAAGAAAGGAATAATTCATTGATTGATTGATCGATTGTTTTTTTTTTTTATGGCTCATCAATAAATATTGGGTTATTTAAAGATAAAACATATTTAGGATTACATAAAGAACAAATAGGATCAATCCAATCTAACATGTTTCCCTCTTATTAAAACTTCATCAGAGAATGTGATATGGAGAAAAAAAAGAAAGAAATTCTGGTATTTTTATTTTTGTGTACTTGATTTTCATTGGTTAATCAGGCTTCATGTGCATTTGACTTTTTAAACAATGTTAGTATAATTTATGATGTAATGAATTCAAGTAGAGATTGTCCTTTTGAAGCATCAAGCCTAACTGAAAAAATGTAAATATTACTTTATTTATGTAAGTGTATCATAATTCTAATTTGACTAGGTGGGATTCTGATGATAATGTATATCCATATGTGTATGTGTGTGTATATTTATATATTTACATTATTTATATTTACATTATTTATGTTTGGTGGTTGTCTGCATGTTGATTTGGGAACATATTTATATAAACATTGGTAGTGATAGATAAACGTATATTAGATTCTTTAAGAATGGATTTAATAAAGGCTGGTGTTGTAATATGTTTTTGATGTGTGTTTATAGTTGGTAAAATATTTATCAAGACTCCCTTGAAGTATTTTGATGTATGTTGTGTTTTTTTTTACTTAGGGCAGCATTTGTAGAATCAAATTTATGGCCAGTTTTGTTCCTGTGTATCATGAGCCAGTTTGAAGGGTTATCACAAAGTACTTCCCTTTTATGCTGATAGATAAGAGCTTTTAGATTTCAAGATGTCTCACCAATGTAAGTGTTTTTAAATTACAAGAAATTTATTTGATAGATACTGGCATTTGCAGTGGTGTTGGATTTATTTTTCTATATTTGATCTGTATTTGACTTGAAGAAGTTAAGATTAAAGGGAAGCATCAATGTGGAAGTCTATTTGAGTAGAACTTTTTCCTACATTTTGATCCCAGTTCATATTTAGGATTGTAAGAGGTAGCCAGTGTTTCCAAACAGTCCCTCCTCTAAGTACTGACTGTGCTCAATGCTGTTTAACCCCTTGTCAGAACAGGGATTAGAAGAGATAGCAAGATAGATAGAGATGAAGAGACATAGATAGATAGATAGATATGAATAGATTGAGATAGGTAGATAGATACAAAGAGACTGAGATAGATATGAATAGACAGAGATATGAATAGATATATAGATATGAAGAGACTAAAATAGATAGATATGAAGAGACTGAGAGAGATAGATGAGATCTTCAGAACAAGTGTCTCAGTGTCATTGGCACTTGTTTCAAAAATCATATTTAGGTGGGAAATTGACTGTCACCATGTAGTATTGACTCCTATATCTAAACTGTCAGGATCTATAAATACTCTATCTCTGATACTAAGTACTCTTCCCCTAGAAGAAAACAACTTAAACATCTACCTAAAAGTCTGTAATTAATTCTCCTTTCCAGTGAGCTCTTCATTAACTTTGAATGACCAACATATCCGACAGATGATTACAAGCAGCTTCAGATTTTTATTTTTGTATTGCCACAATTAAAATTCATACTCAATTGGGCTTAAGGCAACTGAAGTGTAAAATGGATTTCTTTGAGAAAACTAAACGAAAAACAATGAAAACTCCAAGAGAAAATTAAAAATGCATCTGATGGGAGATTTATTCCCCCCCAATAAAATGTAAGCAGACATGGATGGCTTTTCATGCAAAAATAAGTGGAGTTAAAAAGTTTGGCAAAGATTTCATGAAATTGTTCTCTCCATTCTCTGCAGTTTACTTGACTTATTTTCAAGTCATTCATGTGGAACTTTGAGAATTAAATTGATAGTCACTGACAATGGGCTTATGTAAACATTTACACACTATATATACAAATAGGATATATATACATAGATATATATATATATGTGTGTGTGTGTGTGTGCAAAATATATGTGTGTATATATTAAATGTTTAAATGCGTTTGTGATTATATATATACACACACACACACACACACACACACACACACATATATATATATATATATATATGTGTGTAAAACTTCAAAATTGATAAATAAAAATAAAAATATATCTGTAAAAGGACTATATAAAGACAAAAGGAAAACTTATCTTAGCTTATGCTATATATATATATATATATATATATCATACTGCATATGCAGGTACCCTCCATGCATGTTTGTGTAACATCCCAAAATAGATATATGTAGACATTCTCTGAATTAAATATTCCAACACACACATGCCTATGTGTACACACAATAGGCTAAAAGTCACTTTGGGAATCTAATAATTAATAAGTTTCATGCCTTCTTTGGTTTATTTAACTCCTACTGAGCTTGGATGCTGAAACTATTTAATCTATGGCATCCAGTTTTTTAGGGAGGTGGGTTTACCGAAATTTCAAAATCCACCAGGTAATATTCACACTCACAGACAAAATTTCAACAATAACTTAAATTAAATGGTCAACAATAAGCCAAAGACCAACAAACAAGATGAAGAAAGAATAAAAGAGAAAGAATGAAAGAGAAAAAGTAAAAAAAAAAGAGAAAGAATGAGGAAAAGAAATCAACAATCAATCAACACCTATCAAAGGAAATAAAGAATCACGTAATGACAACAGATTAACTCTGGTCTAATGAGTGGTTATAACTATATAGCTATAAAACTCCAAAGTAAACATGAGCTAAGTGAAAAAAACTTTTTTTACATTATATATATATATATATATATATATATATATATATATATATATATATATATATATATATATATATATAATTTGTATTTAGGCAGCAATCCCTCTTTTATACAAGATTCATTAAAAATGACTAACAAGGTAATGTGGTTAAGTTTTTTTAGATAATTTTTCATCTTTTCTTAATTTTTTTTTCTTTTCTGAACATAAATTAGATAAAAATTGTCCAAATGTTTTATATGTCCGAGCACTTTCAGCTATACTTTTAGCCTTTATCAAGGATGAATTTTATTTTTCCTTTTAAGTTTTATCTGACTGTTTGTTTTTTTCTAGAATTTTTTGGTGGGGTATAAAAGACTCCATTCCAGAATGGATCCATTCAGAGATTAGGGCAGCAGTTTTTGGAGAAGCATGTTTGAAAAAGGTATTTTATAGGACCATAAGCTGTCCACATCTGTCTTCGTATAGTGAAAAACCATTCAGGGGATATCATTGGTTTGGAAGCAATCTGGACACTGACTAGAGAATGGTCTGATATGCCAATGGGAGGAGGGAGGTAAAACTTTTGCTGAGCATTTGTCAGGGCAGGATGTTAGAAAAGGTTGCATCTGACACTCGGGTGGGTTCTTCAATGATCTAGGTTTGTTTATAGGCATTGGAGAAGTCTCTGTAATATCTGCCTTCCTCATTGGTCTTGTTAGAATAGAGTAACTACTATTTGTAGTGAACATTGAAGTCACTGCATATGCAAGGGAAATTCAGTCATCAATCCTTGCTGATATTCGATTGAAGATTACTGCCCCTTCATCCTAAAGACGTTACTGAGCAAAGATGAATGTGGTACTATAGATAAATGCTATGCAGAAGCATATATACCTACAATCAGGGTCCTTGTTTTTTTGTGTCCTACCACAGGAAAACCCATTCTTGATGTAGGCATCAAGCCCATGACTGTGGTGATTTAGGTGTTCATATTTTGTTATAATGAGTGATAAACCTGGAATTTTGAGCTTCTACAATGGTATTGAGGCATTGATACCTGTTTCAGACAGGGGCAGGTCAGGTTTAAACTGAAGAAGGTGGAGTTCTACTTTTGGAAAGCTGGAACATAGAACCTTGGTTTGAGAAATGGTATACCTGAGGTAGTTTTTCTTTTTTTGAGGTTGGGTTTGCTAGTTTTGTTTGTTTTCAATTTGATTGCTTTCATGTTTGTTTTGGTTGGTTTGATGTTACACAGCAACTCATTGGAGATGCAAGCATACATAACCTGGATTATCTTACCTGGAGATATTGCCGTAACAGTACACATCATCATGTCACTGAGTGGCCCCACGAGAGACTACTACATGGTCCAGAAACCATTCACAAAATGGCAGTACAATAGCCTTGATATTATACACCTGCTGAGAGGATAGCCTCCTCTAGAGTTACTCCAAGGTTCAGATCCCTACTATTAGGCGGACAGTGCCAAAACCCCAAAAATGTTTACCTCCAGGACCCTTAATGATGGGGCAAATAACCCAGGAAATATTCAGACATGATACTCCAAGTTTATGTATCTTGTCTGCCTAAAGGTCAGGGCAACAGAACACTTCCTTGGGCCAGAAACATCATACTGACCAGAGACCTAGGGTACTAAAGCAAGCTCGCTCATATACATGAGGACTAAAAGACTCATTAAAAGAAGTAGGAGTAACAAAGGTTTATCTGAGTACATGTGCATCTCCTACCCTCATTTGAGTTAGTATCAGATGCATAGTCATTAGGCTGAGCATATGTATGGGGAAGTTACTTATTCTATTTGAGAGAAGGAAAAAATACAAAAAAAAGAGTTTGGACTTAAAATATAATTACTCCTGTCACAAACACAAGGTGGAAATTGACATTTGTTTTGCAGCTTCATTAGAACCAGTTGGCCAAGGAAGCAGGGTAAAGATTAAGGCTAGGTATGCAAGCTATAAAGTTTTAACTTAGTATAAGTCTCAAGATCCCCTCTTTGAAAAGCACTGATATAGGTTCATGGGCCAGTTTACCATGCCAGAAAAACTTGCATTAAATATGATGTGATCAAACATGCAATTAATGTTAAGGTAAAAAGAACAGATGCCAGTAAACATTACATATATATATATATATTTATATATATATATATATATATATATATATATATATATATATATATATATTTAAGATATTTTATGTTTATACATTCTTTTTATAAATACAAATATTTAAGTAAATGCTCTGTTTATAATAAATAATATTAAACAACATTTATCGGCCTGAATGTCCAAGAAATTTTCATAGAAACAGGATTCAAACCTATACCATATACAGAACCGTCATATAGCCTGACGTGCCTTTTAACGGATTCTGCCACAGAGAATCATTCGGTTAGCAAGGTCGAACTTACTACTTTTAAACTTCAATCATCCATGAATCTCTCATGTACATTCATATCTGCTCATGGCGTATCAAATGTAAACAAATGACGTCACACATTATGAAATGCACAAAGTCCAACAATTATTTTAAGACATTTTATGCTTATACATTCTTTTTATTTTATAGATACAAATATTTATCAAAATGCTCTGTTTATAATAAACAGTATTAAACAACATTTACCGGCCTGAATGTCCGAGAAATTTTCATAGAAAATATTCGTCCTCCGACAGGATTCGAACCTGTATCCTATACGGAACCGTCATATAGCCGAATCGGTTAAAAGGCACATCAGGCTATATGACAGTTCCATATAGAATACAGTTTCGAATCCTCTCAGAGAATGAATATTTTCTATGAAAATTTCTCGGACATTTAGGCCGGTAAATGTACTGTTTATTATAAACAGAGCATTTACTTAAATATTTGTATCTATAAAAAGAATGTATAAAACATAAAATGTCTTAAAATAATTAAAATGTCATTTTATAAATATATATATATATATATATATATATATATATATATATATATATATATATATATATATATATATATATATATATATATATGTATGTGTGTGTGTGTGATTATTAATTATTTTCTTTTTTAAAAATATGATTCCATCACGACACGGAAAATTTCCATGTTTCAAAACTGAAACTAAATTTATAAATTTGATTATAAAAATTAAACTTAAAATCCATAGTATTTTGTTCCATTGTCAAGTGATGTTAAGAATAAACTTTCAAAGAAATTTACTTAATTTATTAGCACAGACAATATTGATGTTATGAGTTGTTAAAGGTTAAAGAAAATCTATTTTAATTTAGGGGTTGTTGGGTTTTAATTTCTCTAGACAGCTTATGTATCCAATATATGTTACTTACAAAGCCAGGTTAAGTTTAGGTCGGGTGGGGGTGTCTGCTAACAAATGTTTACATCCGTTATTCAGTGAGTCGTCTGGGTTTTCAATGATAAAAAAAATTTTTGGCATTTTTATTCATCTATTTAATTCATATTTTTATACACAAAGATTTTCTAAAAGGGTCATTTAAATATGTGCAAGACATTTTAATATTTAAATTTTAATTAAATTTTATTCTAATAGATTTAAAGTACCTTTTAACCTTCTAAAAACCAATAGACTATGGTGTTTTTGCAAATAAATATATTAGAATTTAATTACTAATTAAAGATCAAATATAAAAATGCATGTTTCATCTCTATTCTTTATTATTTAATCTTTTTCAAAATTAATTATTACTTAAGGAAAATATTTGACAGTGCCTACAAAAAATAGCTATTTAATTTCTTTGATTTAGTAAATTTTTATTTTTCAGAAACTTATTAATGTATAATTTTTCATGTATGCACAAAGGACATGGGTCATTTAATGACTTACAAGCTCTAGCTTTTCTTATTAATTTCCATTTTACTGTTGGTGTTTTTATTAGTTTCTTTTAAGTACCAGAAATATTTAGATAGGGACATTTGATTTCAGTATTTATTATTATTAAAGGATGTTTGATGTTGGCTCCACCTTCTTTTGAATTCATTTCTTGTGCATTCAGTATAGAATTTAACTATGTCTGGATCTTCAATAGATGAGATATTGCAACGATAAATTATTGATTTAATATGGCATTTATTATTAAGAGGACCCAACCCGACCTGAAATTGACAGAATTAGTAAGAAAATCCTAGAAAGGGTCAACCAACAAATAAAGGGTTACCTTTAATTAAAACTTTGGATTAATACTAAAGAAGTTGCTAATCAGAAATCAAATTGTACACTAATACAGTTTGATATTGAGAATTACTACCAATCAATATCAAAGAAACTTTACACAAATGCTATGGATTTTGTTATCCAATACTTAGACATAACAGATGTAGAGAAAAACATAATTATGAATGCAAAAAAAATCAATACTCATTGATAATAAGGAGCAATGGATTAAAAACTCTAATGACCACTTTGGCATCACAATGGGATCATTATACTCTGCAGAGTTCTCTGACCTTATAGATCTTTTTATATTATATAATCTTACTGCATATCGTGAAATTAGTACAAATGACATTGGATTGTACAGAGATGATGAACTTATGGTTGTAAGAAATTCTACGAAATTTAAAATTGATAAAATTAGAAAACAATTACATAGAGAATTTAAATGCGTAAACTTGAAAGTTTATTCTTAAGATCACTTGACAATGGAACAAGACTATGGGTTTTAAGTTTAATTTTTATAATTAAATTTATAAATTTAGTTTCAGTTTTGAAACATAGAAATTTTTTGTGTCACGATGGAATCATATTTTTAAAAAGAAAATAATTACAATATTTTGCTCTACTGTTTGTATTGAGCACTCTCTTTTTAAAAATAAAAATCACTGCTAAGAACATTGGATTATGAATTTTACTGTTCTTTCTTATTATTTTAATATATGTATATGTGTATATATATATATATATATATAAATATATATAATATATATAATATATATCATATAATATATATATTATATATATTATATATATGATAAAAATAAAATTAATCATATATTACAAAAAAATTCAACACAACTAAGTTAATTATGCGCAATAACTCCTCCCCACTAACTGATGTATTACATAAAACCAACATTATATACCAATTTAAATGTATTTTGGGTGAATGTATCGCCAACAACATAACAAATATATATGTTAGGTATATGACAAATACACTAACAAGAAGACTTACACTCCACATGTCCGACCATTTGTCCATTGCGAAACATCTACAACAACATTCCTGTCCGCATTCACAATATAAAAAATGACTAATCAACAAACACAACTATCCTACACAATGAAAACAACAAATTTAAATTGCAGATACTAGAAGCAATTTATATTAAAAAATTAAAGCCTGCATTGAATCAACTATGAATACTGCAGTAATGTTCTGAATGCCTGTAAAGGAACAGTTTTTTCACGCTTTAATGTGTACGTGACCATGATGACATTATAACCTAGAGGAAGAAATTCTATAATGGATAATTTTTTCACATTCTAATGAATACTCAGCACATTGTCAACTGTTTTGCATTTAAAAGCATAATAAAAAAATTACGGTAATGGATAACAATGCACAACTTTGTATAAATACTTATATCAATGAACAACATATAGTTTTGTACTACTTGCACCCCTGAAGTTGATCTTGGAAAAAGATCGACAGTACTTGGGAAATGAAAATAAAAGAAATTTGAACAGCTATAGCACATTTCTATCATCCTTTAACATCAATGCACAAAAGGTTATTGATCAGTATGAACGGATTTTGTTAAAAATTAGCAGACATGTCTATAATTTATTCAATCAGTCATGCCTAAAAGAGAATGTGCTGCCTAAATACACTAATTTTAAATATATATATACATTAAATACACTAATTTAATATATATATATATATATATATATATATATATATACTTGCCTCAAAGCAAGGCTTAAAAAACATTTAAAAAAAAATAAAGATATAAATATGGTAATATGAGAGACAAATGAATAAAAGAATAAAAAAAAAGTTAAAGAAAAAGAGATTATTGGATGCATATATTATGACTGTTGAAGTTTCTGTTGGATTCTTGTCATGGTGTAATGTGAATCTTCTTTTTAGGCATGTTGTAGTATATTCAATATAATTATTTACAAATTTGGTTCTCTGTAATTTGGATCTTTTTGACAATGAGGTTATCAGTTTTAAATTTTTTATAGTAGATAATTAATTTAATTTTCTTGTCTTTGTCAACTGGAGTTGTGTATTTCTTTATAATGCTACTAAGTGAAGATTCATCTTGCTTATATTTACTATGCATTTGATTTTTGTAGAAAAAATTTTGTGTTCCTGAGCAATCCAAATTTGTAAATAATTAAATAGATAGTTAGATTAGGATAGACTTAGATAGATAGATTAGGATAGACATGGATAGATAGAGAGATAGATTAGGACTGACTGAAATAAATATATAGATAGTTAAATAGATTAGGAGAATCTGAAATAAATAAATAGTTTAGGACAGACAGATAGATATGGACAGAATGAGATAGATCAATACATTGATAGGGACAGAATGAGATAGATCAATACATTGATAGGAACAGAATGAAATAAATAGATAAGAGGCAGATATATAACGAAAACCAAATGTTATATGACAGAAAATATAAAACTTGCAGGCAAATTACATTTAAGGTTTTCATTTTTAGTCATATTCGTCCTCAGTCTTATCTCAGATCAGAGAGCAATGATAAACTGGTTTTGCTGTTTTTTTTTGGGTTTTTTTTTTTTGCTAACCATATTGTATTTCGATATTACCATTTTATGGTAGTATTTTTTTGTTACTCACCTTTTTTAATGTTGAAAAATCTTTTTATCATGGTGTTAATATTTCAGTAATTTACAAGATCATTTTCAAAGCTCACATAAAATAGTAATGTATCAACACTATAATAAAAGAAAATCTTTTATTTAACAATTAACCCTTGTTGCTCTGTTTTTGAGCACTTTATTTACAAAAATATATTTGCCTTACACTCATTAGCCTCACGTAATGTACATTTCCTCATATTTTGTCAAACAGAAACAACATTTGTTATTAATATTATTATTATTATTATTATTAGTAGTAGTAGTAGTAGTAGTAGTATTGTTACATACTACATATTAGTTACTTAAAAATCACAAGTTTGTGAAAGTTAAGTGAGGAATTGAGCTATGTCTAGTTAAGTGTTGAAGTTATGAGGCATTATTGCTCTGTCTGGATAGCCTAAGCATTGAACACATTAATTTACTGCTGTTTGCCTTTTGATCATTATTTTTCTTTCTTAGTTTGGAATTTCATTTTATCTATGATTTTAGTTCAGTGATGGCATCCCAAATTTCCAGGAACCAGTTCCATAATGGCACGTAATCTTTAGGAACTTATTCTGCTTATTTTCTTTTTCCTTTTTTTTTTTTTTCCTGGGAATGAAAACATCAGCTGTGTTATGGTTTCTTAGCCATATTGAAACTGAATTGTAACAGTCCCAAAGATCCAATGAAAGACCTATTAAATATATGACTAGAAGATTTCCAACATTTTTTTCACTAGGTGCACACATGAGCATAACATAACTACAAGACCATCGGTTATTAATATATAAGATTATTTTGGGATAACCCAACAAACAGTTCACTAAGCTTTTATCATTTTAAGAATCAGCCCATGTGAAGCAGTGCAAACTGGTAGGATGCCACCACTGGTTTTAGGACTTTTGACAAATAGTCAAACAGTCATACCAACATTTTTGGATTCATATTTATACATATATATATACAAGTATATAATTGGTGTATACGGAATGAATTCCAATAACCATTTGTTTTGCATTCAACATCATCACTACTATACACTTATTTCTGTAGGTAGTTCTTTTTTTTTTTTTTCTTCACCTAATATATAATAAAACTATTATCAACTTATATGATTAATATATATGTTTTTATTGATATTTGTGGATTTGGAATTTTCGTTTTTTAATATATCAAATAATATTATTTTTAACCATTTTTATATTTGTATATTTGCTCGCTTAAGTTATATTTTAATAAGTGGCTAGCATTTATTTAATGACACTTTCAGTCTTAAATATCTATTCGTTGTGGTATCTGATTGTCTAGGTCAATGTCGGTGGATGTGTGTACATGTATTTATCGGTGTCTATGGGTATGGAAAGTGCATTCACTTTTAATTGTGTATGTATGTATGTGTTTGTTTCCCCTTTTTTTTTTTTCATAAAGGTCTGTGGAGATGTTCCCTATCTCGTCACTTTTTTTGTGTGTATATATATCTAAATATGTCTGGATGCTTAATCTGATTGTGTTTGTGTTGTTTTACACGTGAGTTTACAACCCCCATTCGCACACTTGGGATTAAAATGTATACATATATATTGTCAGAGGACCGGATGAAGTAACGTCTTATTCTAACGTAATTTCAACAAAGAAATAAATTGAATAACATATGTATTTCTCCTTTTCTCCTCGGTAATTTTATAATTTTAAACTTAATAGTGATTAAATTTAGATTTTAAAATTGGCAGTTTTTAATTTTAATATCAAATTCTATCATATAATTTAATAATTATTGGTTAGAATAAATTCTTTTTTTAATATTACCCATATTTTAACAATCTGAATAGCTATTATAACATGACTTTGTTGTCAGGCTTTTTGAATTTTCCTATACTTGATTGGTCATTCTAGCTTTTGGAACAATGTTTTCCCCTTGCGAAGGATCGTTAATTAATTTGAAACTTTTAAAACCATTTGTTTTGCATTCAACATCATCACTTGATAAGACACCGGGAGTGTTGAAACAAAATGGCTATTTTTGTAGTGATTTTATAACATGTTTATGTTATAAATTTTTAAAATAAATAATTATATATATATATATATATATATATATATAATTAATATAAGTAAAAGTTTGGCATTTAGCTAATTGATGTTATCTTCAGCATCCCAACTCCAGAGTTTTATAGGCAGACCCATCTATCCACTCATCAGGTTGTATCAGCAATTAACTACTTATACTTCTCGATTTCTCTTTTTTATGCACTTTCTCACCAATGTAACTTAGCTTCCCTCTGTCTTTTCTACAAATATTTTCATGGCAACTGCTCTGATGAGCTTTTTTCCTGGTGCCCCAACTGCATAAATTTAAGCATCTAGGTCCCACCCATTTACTGTTGAAATAGTTAAATGCAACCACCAATACTACTCCAACTGTTTTTTTTTTTCTCATACTTCCCACCTGTGAAACTCCTTTATATTTACTTGCTTCCCTGATAAATACAATCTTCAAAAATTTAAATGCAACATCAGTCAGCATCTTTTGTCTTCTTGGATCCTATCCATCTTTTGTCCTTTCTTGAATCCTCCCAATACTCAGTCTTTTCTCTCACTTTCACTCTCTATAACTCCCTACATATTGGTGGCATTCCCTCCTTGCTTGGGGTGAAATGATTAAAAAAAACTTTAAAAAATCTATCTAGCAAACTAAATGGATGGAGGTTTAGGAGAGATAACAAATTGACAAAATTTATTAAGAAGTACAAAGGGTAGGAAATTGTGGAGAGCCATGGTTACCAAGATTTTGAAAGGACACATAGAAAAAGAAGAAAGAGAAGTTTTGTGAGATGCAATCGTCTGGAGCAAATATTTTCTATGAAGCAGAACCAGACATCTATTTCCATCCTTGTCTGATTAGCAAGCAAAAAACCATGAAATGATCCTACCACACTTAATACACATATGTAGGCAGTTGTGGGCTGAGAAGGGACGAGGTGTTTAAGGGGTAGGGTGGATGTGTTAGATGAGGATTCTGGATGAATATAAGATACTAGAAAGAAGCAGCAGCAGTCTACAAAGAGGGAAACCTCTTAGAAGATGATGCAAAGGGCTGACAAATATTATTGTTATCTTATGACAATTATCATGATAATTATTGGCAAAAAATTATTTAAAATTTTAGCCATAGTCATAAACATCATTATTGTTAATTAGGTTATGATCAGAATTTTAGTAATTAAACATGAGAAAATCGATCTGTCAATATAGAAACTAAAAATTTCATTTTATTCATTAGAAAATTTCTTTTTTCAATAGAAAAAAGAATTAACAATTCAGGACACAAATATTATTATTCATTTTATGTGAGTTTACTGCAAGGCTATAAAGCCACTAAGATGCAAGGGGTTACAGGGTGTGGAACAGTTAAGACCAGAAACATTAGTAATAAGTGGAAAGTGAAAAAGTAATCATGAGGACAGTAGATAGTGATTGACATTGCATTTAAATTTTTTCAGATTAAAGTTGGCTGGAAAGCATGGAGCCAGGAGACAGTTTTACAAGTTAAGAAGTATGAGAAAAGAAACTATTAGCATAGAACTTATGGCTACATGTAACCAGCTCAACTGTAAATTGATGAGATCTTGATGCCAGTTTAATACTGCAATTAAATTCATAAAGTCTAGGTATCATAGTGAAGATCTCATCTGGACAGTTACCATAAAAATATTTATAAAAAAGGCACAGGGAAGCAACTTTACAGCAGTGGAAAAGAGACTGAAGCTGAGATGCCAGGTCAGGACCAATAATATTGCTGATTCTTCTTTGGATTTTATCAAGGAGCTCAAGGTAAATAGCAGGGACACCAGACCATATGTGGTAGCAATATTCAAAACATGGCCAAATGGTAGACATAGATATGTAAGATCGATTCTGGAGAGAAAAATTGTCTTGAAAAGCAAAGTGACTTTCTTAGCAGCTGATCTAGCAATGGATTCAATATAGTCTTTCCAATTCATGTCAGCTGAGGATGTTAGCCTGAGAAGGCAAAACGAGACACTCTCCTGGAGGTTAGCATCAGCCATGATGATAGAAGGCAGAAAGGCATCCCTTAGATGATAGTTGTTTGTTTACTTTTTTATGAGCAGCCTTTATTGATATATTTATTTTCGTTTTTTTAATTGAATTAACCCCAAGCAAGGCTGCTATACCACTATGACATGCTTGCAACATTGTGTCTGAGGGAAAGTCTACTGAGCGTAGATTGATTTCTCTCACAGAACAGCTTATGATTATGATCTCTTTCAAGGCTGGAAGGTGAGATTTGAGCAGCTCCAACACAAAAATAGCAGCAATACTATACTTTTGTTGGGATCTAGAACATTGCAAAAGATGTCAGATATTTCCTGTAGCAATAGAATGAAGAGACCATTTTTCTAGTATCTTTAGTACTGAATGGATTGAACCTGAGATCCAAATGATCAAGGGTGAAAAAAATTGCTTAATGTAAGAGCCACATACAATAAAGTTCAGATGTTTGAGAGCCGTAAGACATGAACAAAATTTACACAAATGTTTTTGTGGCATACACATTTGATCACTCTCACTCCCTGCTCCCAACTCACCCAAATCTTTAACCTTTTGATCTCAGTTGACATTCCTCTTTAATCCTTGCTGACCAGGAAATTTCTTTAATCCCTCTGCTTCCCACCATTCTTACAGCCACATCATGTTGAAATAACCATTCTTGTATGATAACCAAAATTAAGCAATGTTGAGCCTGGTCAGTACTTAGATGGGTAACCGCTTGGGAATACCAAGTGCTGTAAGCTTGGATGTGCAGCTGGTGTAATGGACAGTGGCTAAGAATTGTTAATCAGAGAGACAAGTTTCAGTCCCAGTTGGGTGCATTATAATCATTTATGCCCAAATACTCAATATAAAAAAATAAAATTGTGTACAAAATATTAAAATTTTGGCATTAAATAACTCATAGAGGTTGATATACTGCTAAAAAAAAAAAAACAGAAAACAGAGACAGATCAAGCATTAAAATTAGGATTTAAATTCTTAAATATTTTTACTAGCCATGAATATTAAACTTACCTTTTAATCCAATGGGAGCTCAATTCATACCCAGTAAATAATTATAAAGCTTGAAATTTTTCTTATTTACCTTTTATATACTAACTGTAATGAAAAAGGAAATGCAGCCAAAATATTTCCATAAACCACATATTAAAGGTCAATGAGACACATGTGGCTCGCAAGCCACCTATTTGGCCATCCCTGCAATAAATGTTCTTTATTAAGAGTGGACCTATTCAGTTTGACTGGAGAAAACTCAGGGCCTGAACAGTAATGATGAAATGATATGAGCTTGGCTTTTGAAGTATTGAAAGAAACAAGCCAGTTATTTGTCCACTGAACTGTTACAGTTTGGTCAGAAAAGAGATCAGCTTCAAGGTTTGGATTATCTTTGTTTTTGAAAGTGTATCTAGAAACAGTCGTATTATCTGCAAAGATCTGAGAATGTTCTTAAGCAGATCATAAATAAAGAGCAGAAAGAGAGTAGGATCAAGCAATTTAAATTAAAATGGAAATTTATTTAAATTTACTCTAATGATTGGCTATTTAACTAATCAGTTTCTAGTGTTGATTACTCACTCGCTGTATATAATTTGCCAAGATTTGGCATTTTCAATAACTAGGATGTATATTTTTGTTTGGCAATGTTTAAACTTCATGCCTGCAAAAAAAAAAAAACAGTATCAAAAGACAGTTATTCTCTTTACACTGCTATTACTGTATACACTTTTGACTCCTTCAGCAATGTTTATTGTTTTAAAAAGTGATGATTATAATTTTAATAAAACCCAAATATATGATTTATGCATTTTCTTTATTCTTGAGAATTTACAAAGATATTAAACACTATTTATTTATTACATTGAATATAAAAACTTGTTTTCATAGTTATTTATAAAATGGTTTACATATTTTGATAATTTTGTAATTGTTTTTAGAAATTTTTGAATAAAAAGATTTCAAAATTCTGGCTTTATCAAATGGTAAATAATAAATATCACATTGTACGTGGTTCACATATTCTTATAATCTTTTAAATAAACATTGCCAAGGGAGTCAAATGCATACAGTAATAGCGGTGTCAAGGGAATAACCATCATTTTGACATATTGCTTTTTTTGCAGGCACAAAGGTTAAACTTTGCCAAATACATTTTGTAGATAATTAATAAAAATCTCAGGTAAACATTTGTAGTCTTTAGACTCTTAGAATTTTATACATGACAAAACCAGATAGGACAAAATTTTCAATAAGAAACTGAAAAGGAATATAGAAAAATATATTGATATTTAGTTAGTTTTTTTTGTTTTAATAATATCCAGTGAACATATTTTAATCCTGTAAAAAATGCAGCATTTGGAGATCCTGGACTAACCGGGTAGGGCATTAACTGCTATAATATCATCTTAAAGAACAGTGTGCCGTGGGTAATTTAGTATATAATTTTGTGCATTTATTTTATACTGATATTATCAATGACAATTAGATCATGCATGACCACCAGTCATGATCAATGGATGTTCCCTCAGAGTGACTGCAGGACTTGAGCAACTATCCAGTCCTCAATCCAGTCCTCAAGTGGAACTTATACATATGATCCATCACTAAAGATGCAGGTCAGTTTCCTGTACTGCTCCTGTTATCTTCTACCTTTACAAGAGCCAGATCAGGCCAAAAATGGAGCATTGCTGCCATATTTGGGCAGGAGCAGCCCAGTCTTCACTTTCTAGTTGTGATAGAGACCACATTTGTTAGTGACAAATTATTTCCCCACCCCTAGCAACCCCACCCCTGACAGACAAAATTTAGAAAGCCTCTCACTGCTCTACCACTACTTCCATGGAAAGTGTTCAGACAAACTATATTCCTTAGTTCCATGATTTCAAACGTCTATGGCTAGGACCTGCCAGGCTCTGTATATTGTAACAAACCACTTTCATTCCCTCCATATTCCACTGGTGAGATGTAAGTTCCACTCAAGCAGCTTCCTTCACTGCTCTGTGAAACCAACTCCCAAGAGGATGTTTTTCCAATCACTACAATCTTAACCTGTTCAAATCTAAGGTTAACTGTTATCCTCTTACTCTGTAACCCTCCACCTCTGATGGCTCCCAGGCCTTGTACAAAAAATGTAAAAAAAAAATCACCACATTTTTTTTCTTAGATAAGGTGCCTCAGTAAATGGTAAGTTTAGTGAGGCTAGTCTAATTGACCATTACTATTGAGTAGTGAGTTTGATCCTCACTGAGTGGCCCATAAAAATACAACATTAAATAACCTACCAAGTTATTTAACTAACCAACCAACCAAGCAAGCCTTTTCTTGTATCAGACAGTGTCAGGACACTGATATTGGGTTGTCACTAATGTGGGGTCATCACTGATGTGGGGTCATTGCTGATATGGGGTCATTGCTGATATGGGTTATACTTGTTGTTATGACAGCAATCGGAATCACTGTCATGATTTTAGTGATTATAAAGCAAGCTACAAACCAGTCAGACAAACCAGGAGAGACAAGGAGAGACTCGAAAGACAAAGAGATAGAGAGACAAAAGGAAACTCAGAAAGACAGAGAGAAACAAGAAGAGAGAAAGAGAAAAACAGGGAGAGGTAAAGAGAGAGGAAGTGGCAGAGTAGAACAGAAAGAGACAGGAGGAAACAGTAAGAGACAGGAGACAGAAAAGGACAGTGAGAAACAGTGAGGCATACAGGAAGAGACAAAGAGGGACAATGAGAAATAGACAGACAGGAGGAGAAAGGCAAAAAGAGACAGAAGGTGACAGGGTGAGACAAATGGAGACAGGTGGGAGACAGAGAAAGACAGGGAGATATAGAAAGAAAGGAGGAAACAGAGCAGAACAGGAGGAGACAGAGAGAGACAGAGAAGGGCAGTGCAAAATAGAGATGGGGGGAAATGGAGAAAGTAGGAGACAAAGAGAAACAGGAGAGACTGAGGAGACAGGAGACAGGATATATATATATATATATATATATATATATATATATATATATAGAGAGAGAGAGAGAGAGAGAGAGTTTTGCAAGTGGCAACAGTTTATTTCATGCTTAATCACAAAATTCAGGCCATGATGCATAAAGAAGATGAGATGAAAATTGTATTTAAGCATGAAACAGACCTCGATGCCCATTTTTATATTTGCATATTCTCTAACCCTCATACTGAGAACTTTAAGCAATAAATATAGTATACCTTAAAGGTATATTTTTATCACACACACACCCCGACACACACAGAGGATGCGATGGGTAAATTGTCGCCATTTTATATTTATAATTTCATTGTTTGTTTTTGATGCTGTCAACTGCACAGTATAATATGACCCTACTAAAATATGGTGTTGGTCACCATCTGTGAGAAAAAAAAGCAGCATGATGCAATTCACTTTGACAGAAATTTGGAAACTGAATGCTGTACTGCTTGGCATTCATGTCAGAAGCTCCAATACAAACATTTCAGTGTTTGGATTTCAATCTGAGGACAGTGCTGAGGATTCAAAATGAGTTGAATGAGTTTAATGGTGATTCCAAAGGTATGGCAGCTCAGAAAATTCACTCCGATTGTTCTGATAAGAAAAGAACTCCCAAATTTGTTGATGAGAGTCTCAATCTCAATACGGGGGCCTACACCAAGTACTTTAAGGAGGTAGTGGTGCCCTGGGTCAAGAGGTTGGCTGCTGGAAGAGCCTATGTCTGGCAACAGGACTCTGCATCATGCCAAAAAAGCAGGCAAGCCCAGTCATGGCTGTCAGAGAATTTCTGGGATAACATCATCCCTTACATCTGTACAATTAATTCCCCAGACTGCAACCTCCTTGATTATTATGTGTGGGACATAGTTGAGTGAAAGACCAAGAAAACTCCTTGTAACACTAAAGATAAACTGAAGGCAAGTATTATGGCAGCATTCACCAACTTAAACAAGGAGACTGTCCAGAAGGGTTGCAGGAGATTCTGAAGTCATCTGGAGATGATGGTTAAAGCCAATAGCGATTTTACTGAATAAATTTCCTCTTTAGCATTTCAGATATTTTTGTGTAATTTTGGTAAATATATCTGTTAGAATGACAGTGTTATTTTAATTTCTAGGTAATTTAGATGACAATTTATCCATTGCACCCTCTGTGTGTGTGTGTGTGCGTGTGTGTGCGTGTGTGTGTGTGTGTGTGTGTGTGTGTGAATATCTGAGTAACTACATGTCTCCGGCAAACAAAATTAAATAGGCTCCATGTTGAGCAATAAAATATTTATTCATCAAAATTTGAACAAGATGTCTTTTTTCATTATATATATATATATATATATATATATATATATATATATATATATATATATATTCATATATATATTCATATATATATTCATATATATATTCTTTTCATTCATATATATATATATATATATATTCATATATATTTTCATATATATATTCTTTTCATTCATATATATATATATATATATATATATATATATGAAGGAAAAAGGCATTCTGTGTGTTAGAATATGCTTGAACACAGTCAAACAAGAGTGTGCAGCTTGCATTTTTGGGAAAATTCAAGTAAAATGCACCAACTGGAAAGCAGATTTGGACATGGCACAAAAAATTCAAAGAGGAAGGCTCTCTGCACAGAGCAAAAGAATCTGGACAACTGCCAGGATTGGAAGAGATGGTTGAGCAGGTTAGGGGGAAAATTTTTAATAATGGAAACCCAGATTCCTTGTATGACACTTTGATGCTAGATAATGTTATACAAGACATGTTACAGCATGTTTGGCAGGAGCTGGATGACTGACTTGATATGTGTGGGTGCATATTGCAAAGCTTTGTGAAAATTGGTTATAAAATCTACATCCTTTTGAACATCTTGCCTTTTCATTCATATATATATATATATATATATATATATATATATATATATATATATATATATATATATGAATGAAAAGGCATTCTGTGTGTTAGAATACATACATATATATATATATATATATATATATATATTTATTTGCTTTCTCTCCTCTGGCAGTGGTGGCAGAGATGGCTGTGAATGCCCAACCTACTCCTGAATAGTCGTGGGCAGGAGTCAGAGAGGAGTGTGGGTGTTGGACACATCTAAGCAAGTCGGACCCTCTTGCCAGCATGTTGTAGATCCTCTTTCTGTTGATGGTTGGACTTGAAAGTCTCAGTCCCTTCTCAGGTGGTCCAATATCAGGAAGTCCAATTTGCAGCAATGGTTTCCCAGGTCCCAGGGTTGATGTTGGTCTGTGTCAGGGATGTCTTCAACTGATCTTTGAAGTGTTGTTTTGAACATCTGTGTCACCTCTTGCCAATACGGGTTAGTGGTGCATTGTGGGTATTCTATTATGGCGGTTAACCGCCATAATAGAATTGGCACCACTAACCCGTATATATATAAATAGCCGAGAAAAATAACAGCATATGTGGCCTGACGATTGCATATAGCATGAAACAGACTGTCGCCTCTAAGTGTTGACTTCTATGTTCACTTTTATATTTACACACGCTCTATCTCTGATATTGAGCACTTTATCCCATAAATATAGCACACCTTAAGACTATATTTCTTTTTATATATATATATATATATATATATATATATATATATATATATATATATATATGTAAGCAAATGTAAATGGATATAGATCCGACAGAATGAAGAAAAATTTTGAAAAAAACAAACAAAAATCCTTATATGCAATTATGTTGTTTAAAATGAATGAAATGTCGACGCTTTGGGTTTAATAAACCTTTTTCAAGACAATATTCATTAAAATACAATTCAGTTCAATATATATATATATATATATATATATATATATATATATATATATAGAGGAGAGGCACGAATTCCAGTCGAATACATTACATTCACTTATGTGCTCATACCCTTGGGAAAGGTGTGAATCCTCTTCTCCCTCCAGCTATGGGTAAATAGCAGGACAGACTGGGTTCTATAGCCTTGGATGGCAACTGGTCTAGGAGAAGGACAACTCTGAATTCAAAACCTGCAGAGGGTCGTTTGGGGATCTTGTGGCACTTAGTGCACCAGGTCTCTGAATTCAGCCCTTCAAAAAGTGTGGCTGGTCCTGCATGAAACCTTCACCACTATAATCAAATCTCATGTGCTGTTATTGAGCTGTTGGTTTCCTGGGAACTGAGCTGCTTGACCCTCATACGTCGAATAATCGATGGGAGAGTCGACTATATATATATATATATATATATATATATATATATGTGGGAGGCACAGTGGAGTAGTGGATAGCGGCTCAGATTGAGGAAATCGGGGAGCAGAGTTCGAATTCTAGTCAAATCCATTACATTCACTTACGTGTTAATAACCTTGGGAAAGGTATTAATCCACTTCTTCTTCCTCAAGCTATAGATAAATAGCAGGGCAAACCAGGTTCTATAGCCTTGGATGGCAACTGGTCTAGGAGAAGGACAACTCTGAATTCAAAACCTGGTTGTTTGGGGACCTTGTGGCATGTAGTGCACCAGGTCTCTTTATTCATCCCTTCAAAAAGTGTGGTTGGTTCTGCACAAAGCCTTCATCACTATAATTAAATCATATGTGCTGGTGTCTGGGCTGTCGGTTCCTAGGAACTGAGCTGCTTGACTCTCATACGTTGAATATGGCAGGAGAGTCCACCACATATATATATATATATATATATAGGAAGAAAAGACAAACTGGAATAGAATGAAAGAGAAAGTAAGACTGTCTGTTTCCTCTTCCTATATATATATATATATATATATATATAAATAGCAAGAGTAGACAGACAGGAATAGATGGAAGAAAAAGTAAGACCTTTTACTATTTAAAAATTAAGGAAGCCATCAGTCTAAAAAAACTCAGTCTAAAAATATCGGTATCTCAACTAATTAGTAATTGACTGGTTAATAAACAAGACGGTTAATGAAATAATTTTATACTGAGAGGTGGTTAGAGATGCTGTAAAAGTGCTACAACTAATTAATTTCTCCTTTCTTTCCCTCCTTTACTTTAAATTATTTTTGATTCTTTTTCTTTCACTGACAACTATCAGCCTTTTAATGAAAGTCGTAATTTGGGATAATTGATAAATGGCATTTTTGAGCCGAGACTGTGCAAGATTATTTAAGATTATTTAAACATCAAAGACAGCTGAAAATACACCCCCACCCGACTCTGTCATCTTCCTGACCCCTCTCAAATTCGGTTCACAAACCCCTTTCTTCTTTATGCATCATCAACCCAAGGAATAAACAAAGAGGAAGAATATGAAAATTCTCTTCATTAACACACGAACAACCAATACCAGACAGAGAGAACTGTTTAGTCAGAATTTTTAAAGTTTTATGATGGTGTCAGTTCTAAATGGTTCTTTTATTATTTTGGGGAAAAAAAAGAAATATCTGACTGTGCTTATAGAAATCTCACAATGCATCTTTACAATTTGGAAATGGAATATTTTTCTTTTTACTAATGTTCACCCTATACAAAGCCTAAGAGTTACTCAAGATAGAGTGTTGCTGAAGGAGGTTGTTGTATGAGTTGCAATAGTAAGAAAAGAAATGCAGTTTATGAGTTTGTAGTGATCGGAGAAGCATTCACTCAAAAGTTGGTTCCACAAATTAGCGGTTCATTGGAAGAAACATTTTGAGTGATGACACATGTGCACACAAAGCATCATGACCCTATTTGCTTTCCTGGATTATTTGTCCACTAGATGGTGGCGGTAAAATTTTTCTGCATTGATGTTGGTCAGTTGATTTTATTTAGCATCTATGCAGACAATTACTGAAATCCAAATTTTTTAACATGATTTTTTGGCTTCAACTAAATAGATTTTGAACACAATCAGCTGCTTTCAACTACAGATAAAATGTATTGTTGGCAATTCTATTATAAAATGTATGTT